CCCGGGGGAGGAGGTTATCAGAGAGCTTATGAATGCCATCTCCCTCCAAGCCTGAAACCAAGTGGCTGTTGAATGTACAGGAGGCCCTTCCTGGGGCCACTTCAAAGCCACATTGTTTTGGCAGCCAGTGCGGCTCTCCGGGTGTGACAGCACTGGGGTTTGTCTGATTCCAGCCTGCTGCCTCACAAATTGCTCGGATTGACCCAGGACCGCTGGGGACTGTGGTACGGGTTGAACCAGAGCATCAGCTCTTTCCCTGCCTGGCATTTGATGTGCTCCTGCTGACTGTAACTGGGTTATAAAACTAGAGGCGGAATCATAAGCTAAGAACTCTGAGCTGGGCACAACTGACACAGCAGCAGGGCTGTACATTGCTTCGTGCTGAGTGAATTTCACAGCTTTGCTTCTTCTTGAGTTTATTGTCTCTGCCCTTGTGGCAAGAGAGAGCTTGCTGTGGGACTGGCAATCCCACCCAGCCGTGCCTGCAGCAGCACACCAGCGCTACAGTCAATAGCCTGGAGAAGTACAGGAGCTGGGAACAGAAGATCCTGTTCCCTTTGCTCCCCATCACAGATCTGAAGCATGCGTAACCAGCCAGGCGCATTCAGAAGCCTCTGAAGTGCTCTGCCACAGCTTATCAGAGACTGCCTTTCCCTCCTTCACATCAAGCCCTTAACCAGTGTTCCCTACAGTGCTCTGTCTCACTGCCTTTCCACTCCTCAGCAAAGCACCAAGCGTCTTCTCATCCATTTCAGGTGTTTGAGGGCACAAGCATTTTATTGCACGAGACAGTATAGGTTCAGCACAAAGCAACACAACAGCCCTTTCTCCCAACCTTCATTCAGTTCATACTCTCCGTGGCCCAAATCAGCATCCTGTACAAAGAAGTCTCCTTCCTAAGCCTTGTGCTTTTGCTTCCCTTGAGGAAACTTCAGCACCAGCTCAGTCAGGACTCCAACACTTAGCTGTCTTGCTCCTCCAAAGATAGAGGTGACAACGCGCTTTCTACAGAGAACAGAGATACAGCTCCAGACCTAATTAGAGGATGGTGATGGACACAGACTTGTGCTGCTGACATAGTGCTGTGGGTATTTGGGTCTCTGAACTTCTCCTGCTCCTTTCCTGTGACTCAGCTGATACTCTTTGAGTATCAAAACAACCCTTCAGTTGCTGCCTTTGCCCCTTATCCTCCTGACAAAGTGGTCACAGCAGACAAGGCAGTACCCTTTTGAGAAGCAGTACCCTGCAGGGACCCAGCTGGCTGTAATGAGAGCAGAGTGTTACTGACAACAATTGCTGCCCACCAGCTCCCAAGGTCCCAACTCACAGAGGGGTGCAAGGACACCTGCAAACTGGGATCCAAATGGCTACTGGGATTTTTCTGGCATATTGTGCTGTATGTATCCCTCTTCCTCACCCGTGACCCTCTCTTACCTGCTCCCTCTCTACAGACTCGACTTTTCCTGGTTCTCATGCTTAAAGCAATACCCAAGCATAAAAAAATCCTCTTCATCTCTGTGCTTACACCGTTACTTCTCTCTCTTGCTTACCCTCGCTCACTGAAATAACCTGTCTCTGTCCCTTTTGGTATTGCTGTAATTGCTAGTTATTCCAGACTTCCAGGGTCAGGAGAGAGCATTGGTGGTTTCCTCTCCATTCTCTCACTCAGAGCACCACCTTGAAATTAGACTTTCCATTCTGAAGTTTCTTTTGGCTCCTGCATGGAGATGGAGTAGATTTCCCTTTGGAGAAGGGGGGGCAGGGGTGTGTGTGTGAATCCAAACAATGATGCTTCAGCACTCTTTGGAAAACTTCCCACTGGCCAGAAGTACTGTGTTTAAAAAAACCCACATACACAAAAACAAATACCAAAAATTCTCCAAACAAACAAGTCTGTATTCATCTTACTTGGGAAGAGACATCACAGTCCAAAACCAGGACAGAGGCAGCTTTTGTGACTAAATCTCAGTACTGAGTGTAAGAAGTTAGAAAACCTACTCTGCAACTGACTCATTCTGTGACTGATCACTGAGATTACCTGAGCATCAGTTTCCTTGTCAGCAAAATAAATGGGACTTACTAGATTAACACTGATGAAGGAATTCGAGAACATCGGTGCAGTGTGCCACAGAGGATTGCATTTTTTGTTCCTCAGCCTTCACCTAAAGCTATTTTAGACTTCATATGCTCTATCAGGCATACATGACTTTGTCAAAGTGATTTACAAGGACACAGACAGCCCAAAGCAAAAGTGCTGTGCAGGTTTGGTGATCAGGCTCATGGGTTCAACATGCAGATGTCACAGACCTACCGAACAAGTCTGGGTAAGTCATCTTCGCGTCCCAAATTAAACAGGGAAGATAGCATTTATCCACGTCCCCAGGATGTTGATAGGTGATGTTCAAAGGGAGAAAAACATTCATATTTTCAGTCTCCAGCTCTTTCAAGTCTCCATACTGAGTTCCTTTCTCATGCGCTGCAATTCCTCCACTCCTTTGGACTCCCATAACCTAAAGTAACCCAAATCATCAACATCTCTCTACTGTCATACCTCTGATACTAACGACTCGAAAATCCTCTCTGACAACACTCTTGAAATGCTTTTTTCTTCTTCTTTTCTATTGTTTTTTTGTTGTTGGTATTGCTTAAAAATCCCTTCTTTAACTGAAGCAAAGCCCAGAGGGAACCCACTTGCAATCTGTATTGATCAGAAGATTCAGAGGACAAGATGGGGTCTGTGACAACTTCAGATTGCCTCTACCTCAAAAAAACCATATCTGATGCAGTCACTGAGGCAATCAAAGAGCATTCATTCTGGAAAGGGAGAGACAGCTTGGCCTGGAAAGCGTGATGAAACATGTGACATTCATCTGGGGAGATGTTAAAGATCATCTGAGGTTTTTGTTACAGAAAACCTTCCCTGGGGATCCTTTCCCCACCTTGCTATAGTGTGTCTCACCCACTTCTCCCAGCACTAGAGAGTGGCACACCACAGTGTCCCTGACCCATCATTTGGACAGAGCTCTTGGGGAGCCTCTAAAATAACACTTATAAAAGCATTACCTAAAGCAGCTGCTTGCTGCCTTCCCACCCCAGCGCAGAAGCCCGTTCACCCATGCAGGCACACCAGAACCTACTGAATCAGGGACAAAGGCATTCACAGTGAGGAGCAGAGGTCTGCACAAGCGACAAGAAGCAAGATTAAGCAAGTGCATACGTTCATATATGGCTATTGCATGACCTGGAGAGTTTAAATGGGCAACATCAAAACACCCTTCAAGCACAACTTACATGCACTTAGACAATGGGAAGAAAGATTCTGAGTATTTTAAGTGCTGCATCTCTATTTTGAGACCTGTGTAGCTGTTGACGCTCTTGTGCTTTCTAACTATAGCATGTCTTTGCTCCACTTTCTCAGGCTGCATCCTTCTCCTGTGTTCACCTAGCTGACCCGAGTACAGGGACTAAGAGAGACACAGGCTGGACTCCTGACGCTGATCCCATTGCTGGAGCTGGGAGCCCTGTGAGAACGCCCGTGGCACAGGGGAGGTGCGCTCCACAGAGCCTGCATTACCCACCCCTTGTCCCAGACCTCCATCAGGGTGGGCAGGCCACGCCGGGGTGCCTGCAGAGCTCATCCTTCAGGTGAGGAACACCGTTTGGGTGAGCTGCAGTGCTCCCGGCAGCCTCCAGCTCGGTGATGGCCACCACCGACCACGCTGTCACCTCAGGGAGAGCAAACCCCCTTCCCGCCTGGAATGCGACAGCAGCTCCTGCCGTGACCCCGATAGCACCCGGTGCCTCCCGCGAAGCCCCCGGGCGGGAATGGACCCGAGCCAATCGCGGGCCTCGGCACTACCGGGGGGGGGGGGGGGGGGGGGGCGTGGTTCCCACAACGGGGCCGCGGCCCCTTTAAGTGCGGAAACTTCACCTCGCCACCTCAAGACCCCCTCGCGCCCGGATTGGCTGGCGGGGCCGCCGGCGGCACCGCCTCGGGCTGCGCACCCCCTATTGGCCGGTAGACCCGTCAGTCAGAGCGGAGCTCTCTCCTGACTGATCCACTCTCTCCTCCGTCCCGCCGCGAAGGCGGGTGCCGACGCTTCCCGGAGGAAGGGGTCGGGCGGGCGAGCGAGCGCCCCCGGGGGCACGGGCGAGGGAATGCGGGGAGCGGGCGGAGAGGGTGGCGGGGGGCGCGGCTGCGGGGCTCACCGATGCGCTGCCCCACGGGCGAGCTGAAGGGGTTCCCCAGGAGAAAGTCCATCGCCGCCGCGCCGCGATCAGCTGACGCCGCCGCCGCTGCTGCTCACGTGACCCGCGCGCCAGGCCGGGGCGGGCCCCCGAGTGGGCCCCGCAGTGACGCCAGCGGCCGCCGCCCGGGAGGGGCAGAGGAGCGGAGCGATGCCGGGTCCCGCACAGCCGCTCGCCGGGACTGGAGGGGCCGCGGGTGCCGAGGCACGCCCCGGTGCGGAGAGCCTGTGCTGATGGGGTTAGCTTCCGTAACGCTGCGCTGAGGCGTACCGGCGCAACGGGTACGGGCTGGCAAGCGGGGCACCGCCTTCCTCGACGCCCTCCCTACGGAGCCACCGCCCCGCCCAAGTTGAAGCTGTAGCCGAGCGACGCCAGGCCCCGGGAAACGGAGGTGGGGGTGTGCTGGTACCGGCGCACACCACCACACACACGCGCGTTGGCTTCGGGTATCCTGTAGCGTCCTCGCCTTAACGCCGTAAACCCGAGCTGAGGCACGGCAGCACGGGAGGGAAAAGCCGCGGTGTTATGTGCAGTGTTTGGTGCCGGGTCTCCCTTCGGCAAGGCTCCCGTACAGCGGCAGTCCTGGAGCGGTGTTCTCACTGACCAGTGCTCCTGGAAATGGAACAGCTTGCCTGCAAACTGAGTTTAAAGAGTTTAATTGAGATGCGTTGTGCTGAAGTACAGTAAATATTAGTAACAACAGCTGCCAAAAACACAGTGAATGCCAGAAATGAATGACAATACTCCAAATGTTACAAAAGAAAATTATATTGTAAGTACAGTACAAAAAAAAAAACAAAACCGAAGTGTCTTTGTATAAGTGTAATCTGGATCAAACAGCAAAGAAATAACAAAAATATAAAAACAAGTCTTGCCAAAGTTTTCCCTCTAGTACCAAATACCACAAGATACAGATTATACAAAGTGTACAAATTTTAATAAAAATACAATACACCAGGGTTGTGTGTGTTTCATTAGTCAAAGAGGTTTCTTGTACAGATGACACAGCTAAAGCTGATCCCCTTCTGTTCCTTAGAGAACAGGTCTGCACCTTCACCACAATGCTCTGTTGTGAAGGGCTGGAATCAGCCAGTGATTTTGTGTTGTTCCCAACAGCAGATGCTTTAGGACAGGCCTGGATCCGCAGTAGGACTGGGACTGCCTCCCTCCTGGGCCCTTCCCAATTCCAGGCTCACTGCAATTAGTCACACAGTGTTAAAACATGTATGCTCTGGTGAGAAGCTTGAATTGAGAAAGTATACGGTGGTCTGAGAACCTTCTGCCTCCTCTACTGACTGAGAAATCCTAACACTGCACTGAGAAAAGCTCTGTAAGAGACAGACTACCTTGTACAGGCACAGCTGGGGAATATGTGGCAAAGAGGAATGGGAGGAAAAACTCTCCTGCACACCTGAGGATTTAATTTAAACATGATTTGGGGCTCAGCCACAATGACGAACAGCTTACTTTCAACTGCCTTAAAAAACAGAAGCTAAACTTCAGGCTGAAAGTAAAAAAGTGTTCTTCTCGTTTAAAAACTTCTATAAGGCTGGAACGGCTACAGTTTCAGTTGTTCTACCTACCTTCACAAGATAGCCTGTTTCTGTAAATGCTTTAAAACCTTCCTGATGTTTCCCCTTACAATGCCAATGCTTACACATACAGCTGATTTCTGCAGGAAGTGGGGTGAGGCAAACGATTTGTACTTTCCACACTGTTGGTGGAGGGAGGGATTTCTACTTTTAAATTATGTGCATATATATATATATACACACATATATAGAGAGAAATATACAGGATAAATTAAAATCTGTTACAGATATTGGGAAAAGTTAAATACATATGATGTGAACACCACATATATGTACACACAAACACAAAAAAGCCTACATTAGAATCAACTGCTCTCCTGCGGTCCTCTTCCAGAGAAGCAGAAAACCAAACACCGAGTTATGTGGCTGGAAGGAAGGAGAGTTGCTCCATTCAACCCACATATGCCTTACTCAGCCATAACTGCTTCAAACTGGTCACTGCTCACTGCCTCACAGCAGCACCATGGCTCTGTCAATACTGCTGGTGAAAGGGAAGAGCAATCTCAGAAACCAAAGTTGTCTGTTCACAAAAGAGGTGTAAGATGGGCAGAAGCAATCCAAGTTTTTCACACCTGCTTCCACACTCTTCTCCATCAAAGCAGGCTGACCATGTCCTGGAAAAATCAGCAGGAGGTTCATTCTCTCAGGCCAATGCAGTTGGTTGGTATACCGTGCTAATGACAATTTGGATGCAAGTCCACAAGAAGAGATTAAACTTCTTGTCATTTTCCACTGTACTTCAAATGCCAGCTGATGCTGACAACTTTCAGTTACTACTGACTGAAGAGGGTGTTAGAAGGAGTGATCAAGAGGCAAAGACCTTTGTATCTTTGATCAGCTATCCAGCTTTCCCCTCAAGTGGCAGATTTTAAACTGAAAAACATTTAGAAATAGGGCTGGTGAAGAGTTCAGTTGTATTCCTTGGTCCAAAATGCATTACCATCTCTACGTGCCCAAAGAATAGCAGAATACTTTTAAATTGGAAGGGCTATCAGGAGGTCATCTAGTCCATCCCCCTGCATCAAAAAAGTCCAACTACAGCAGGCTGCTCATTCAGTTTCTGAATGTCATCAAAGATGGAGAGTCAACAACCAACCTGGGCCACCTGTTTTAATGGCCCTTTCTCATGGTGACCTTTTCCTTCATATCAAGAAGTCCATTCTCTGGCTGCTTCCCCATTAAACAGTCTGAATTTAAGGCGAGTATCTCAAAAGCTTTCTGAATTCTTCGTATAAAATACTTGGAGATTGGAGGACATTTCACCCACCAACACAAAAGGATTTTCTCAGCTTAACTTCACAACTTTTCATAAAACAGAAATCAAATAGTTACAATCCTATGTATATACTATACAGATACAAAACTTTAAAACCCTACACACGGAGCCCTTCAGGAGTGCCGGTGTAGTGTATATGTACGAAGTCAGTAATGTAGAGGTTGAGTACATCCCAGGATCCTTTCCCATCAAAGTCCAGGCATGATGTAGGCAATGTTGTCTAGTGTGTTTGACTGGGAAAAGAAAGTCAGTATTTTTTAGTGTAAGGTAATGACTCAAAATCCTTACAAAATGACACAGGCAAGGGTACTAAGCATGTTCACTTGCCTTACAAGTTATCATATGATGAGACAACCCTATTTGTCTGGTCATCACTACCACTGCTAGGCTTATGTTCACTTTTTGCAAATGAAAGTTAACTAAACATAAAGGTAGCCTCAGTATTTGTAAGAACTTGGAAACAATGAAAATGCTTGAGGCTTTCCCTGAGTGACCTCCTCCTTACAAACCCTATACTCTATCTCTGAATTTGAAACAAACCACATCGACCACAGGAAAGATCAGTGATAAGGATATAAGCAAAGTGATCAAAGTTTAGCACATAAAAACCCCCAACATTACTTTACACTCACAAATCCCTTATGAAAGTCTGTTGCATAAAAAAGAAAACCCTTAAACACACCCACTAATAGGGCATAAGACAGGAAAAAGAAGTGCCCTCCAGTTTTTCTTGCAAAACGTAACAGAATTCTGAGAATAGTCCTCCTTATGCACATCAGAAAACAAGACCCAACAGTATATTATCTGTATGTCCTTCAAATGCAGTATTTCAGTTAGCTCAAGCCTGGGGCTGGATGGCTGAAGAAGGCCTTAGAAATACCAACTTTTAATTGCTGAAGACAATGGACCTAGAGCAGAGCCAGTTGTGACTTTGGAATTCAACAATGCCACCTACTGACCGAAAAGATAAATAACATCCTACACGCAACAGGACCATTGGCAATTTTACCCAGTTTAAAACACCATTGTTGGTATGTATCTCATGGCGAAAATCAGAATACTTCATTTAGTATCAAGCCTGAATGCCAGTTTTCAGAAGTGAAGAGTGAGTGCCTTAATCCACCTAAAGTGCCATTGCTCCTTGTAACAATAAGATGATCAAATTTCCAATACAGGCACCATTAGTCATGTGGTGTCTTTGCTCTGAATGCATTTGGCAAGCAAGAAGGAAAAAAAGCATAGGATGTTTTTCCATGGTTTAGGATGGGCACACCTCACTGACTCACCTTTTGTGCAGACAGCCAGTTTGTGGGAGCTCACAGCCTAAAACTATCAACTTTTTTGCTGTTGCTAACAGTCATTCTCAAAACGAATCAATGTTTTGGCTGCTCTGTTATAACATGCCAATTTATATCCCATTTTTTGTTGTTCTCTGCAAGATTTGTTTTTAACCTCTTAACTTTTGCAGACTATGTATTTATTTTTCATTTCTGCTCCTCTCCTTCACTGCTTTATTGATGTCTCCTGTTGGAGGTATGACTCCTAATTCCTTTTACGCTGCTGCCATCTTAATCTATGTCCACATCATGCTACATAGATGCCACAAGCTGTTGCTAAACCAGGGCTCAATATTATGTGTAGTTTAAAGTGGGAAAGAACTTATAGTTGCAGTTCCTTAAAACAGGCTGTTTTATTTTCAGCCACATGTAAAAGGAGTCACTCAATCACATTAGGAATCCTGAGATCACAAGTTATTTGTTGTGTTACTAAAGGAAAAACAGATTGTGTCATACAAAGCAACCAGATGGTGAGTTTTACTTTTATGAAAAATAAGAGCTTTCATAAATAGTTATATTTGTACAGATGCTTTGATTTGGATGGCTTGGTTCAGTCACTAAAACATGACCCACACACATTGCAATCAATGCTACAAATACTAGGCCAGTTGCCACTGGGAGAAAAAAAGTTGCACAGTATCATACAACAGTAACCTCCGAGGGAATTTAAAGAAACATTCCTCTATAAAAGCGTACGACCAAGATAATTTTCTTATTGCTCTGGAACCATAATCACATCATAAGACTGATGCATAAAAAGCTAGCTGGACTACTGAAATTACCAGTGCTAGAATGGAAATAACCACAAGGAACTCACCAAAATATGCTTAGGGCAGCCATTCAGCTCAGGTAGTTGTGTGGTCAGGCATGTTAATGGGCCCAAAGCACAGATGATTGAATCTAAAAGTACTGACAAACTTCCTGAAACAGCCACCATTCCCTGTAAGGAGAGAGAAGAGATAGGGATGACTAGTGGAAATTATGGTTCCTTCACAACTGTATCACTTCTCATGCAGATACAGTATCTTCACTCTTGAGCAATTGGTGTAGGAAAAAAATAGGAAACAAAGGGTCAGAAAGCTGTCAGTTGCATAAAACACTTTAATTAATTCCAGAATTTTTTGTAATGTCATTTCTTTGACATTGCGTACCATCTATTTTGTTATCTACACAAGTCCTAAAGACAATGGGTGGTTTATTATTAAATCTAAAGAAATGCTAAGTCTGTAACAAATGCTTTAGTCATTGATATACTTTCAGGAAAGGGAATTTGCTTGTGTGCCCTTCTGTAAAGTGGGAGATTTTCCTTCAGTTGTTTCTTTGAAGAACAACCTTAATCATTCACACCAAAACCAAAATGCAAGAACATTTATTTCACTGCTGATAAAACAAGCAAGCATAGTGGCATGAGAGGATCGTACTAGCCATGAGGTTAAATTACATTATCTGAGCCAAATGTGTGCTCTCCTGCTGGACTGAATTCTGGAAGTGCCCATCTGTGTGCGTGCATGCACCGAATCACTATCATCTAACAGTAGGTAAACGTTAAATGACAGCTTCTACATTACCAGGTAAGTTGAAACAATAGTAGCCCCTATCAAAGCACTGGCAATATGATACTGCCAGAAAATAACAGGACATGCAAAAACCATCTTGGTAAAGGTTGATAGTTTTCTGAGAAGGCTTGAGACTGTAACAGAAACTGGACTAGAGACTGGCAAAGACAGCAAGGAACTACCAGACCCAAGGTGAACATACAGTAAGAAAACACCGACGAGTATCCCAAATTGCCTTCAGAGACCTAGAGCTGCAAGGGACCTGTCTTTGATGCCTAAGAAACATGGTGCTTTATTTCATGGAAATCAAAGAGCAATGCATGAGAGAAACAGGACACGCCATCTCTAATTTCTCCTCCTAACACAGAAGCATTGGTTAAACTCGTAAGTAAAATAAAACAGTAATCCCCACCCAAATCCTGTGTGCAGATTACATGATACCACTGTGACACTGCTGGTTACAGACTCACCTCTGTTTCCTGCAGTCTGTGTCCAATAAGGCTCAGAGATTCACCCAGCAACTGTAAGTGTGCAGCTACATCAATAGGTTCTGTCTCAGGGGCTTTGGCTGGTGAGGAAGGCACCATCACAGTGCTGGTGGGGGATTTCTTCTGAGGAGAAATCACTCCTGTTGGAGAAGCTGGATACAGACAAATTCAAATTCCATTATTTCTTCTTTAATTCTTTTACTTACAAACCTATTTACTTAGTAAAGTTCAAATCTCACAGGCAACATTATCTTCCCTGTCCAAGAAAAAAGACCAGAGCAAATGAAGTGCAACAAATTACCTTTTATTTTTGGTGCACCATCTGAAGATGATGCCTTTCTCTTCACAGTAGTAGCCTCTGCTTTATTCTGCTTGTGTTGGAGATACTGAGCTTTCTGTTTCCAGATCTGCAGTTACCATGGTACAAAAGACATATTCATAACATTAGGCAATTCTGCTACCTGATGCCAAGACCTGGAGGCAGAATGACGTTAAGTGGCTAACTGGTGAAGTAATACCATGAGAAGAAAATGGATGACTTTATGAACACAAGGCCAGTATTTCCATACTTTGGGGACATAGGTAGTATTTTTCTAGGTATGGTGGCAATGCTGCCAGCATGTTCGGACCTCAGCACCTAGTTTACACAAATTGGTTTACAAAAACATCTCATACACACTCACCAATTTATCCTTCTCAGGTAGCTGCTTCCACACTTCAGCCAGTTTTTTACTTAACTCTCCAAAATCTGGTAGAAGGAAAGAAGAAAACTGTTTAAAACAAATGTTTAAAACAAATTAAATAATAGTATCATGAATAGAACATAGGAAATTTCCTGGCTCATGCATACACATTCAGGAAGCAACCCATTCCACATCTAGAACTCTTCACACTGACCAGAAAATGACTGCCAGTGTGGAATCCCAGTACTGTTTGAAATGAAAATAAGCTGATACTAGGAATATGAAGTCACTTGTATGTACAAAAAGGTGACAAATGAAAGTAACTCTCTAAGTAAAGAAAGAAAGAACTAGCAATTTCTTCATCCAGATTCACAGCTTGGTTAAAACACAATGAAATCAAGTAACGAAATCCACTCCTGTCCCCTTTGCCACCTCTTATTCAAAGAAAACTGGCAGATTCTTCGCATGCTGCAAAATTAAAGAGGACGGTACGAAACAGAGATGACATATTCTGCTAATTAATCCAACTGGTGTATGATCAAGAGAAGGATGGATTATTGTTTTACCTATTCCAGGGTGCTCAGACACAATATTCGTACGATATTCCTTACAGAACACTTGATAGGCAGACATGTTTTTCTTCTTTGGCTAGTCAGAAGAAGAAAAAGAAACAAAAATTTTTAATTATCATGAGACCTACTTAAATTAATTAAGAATTTGGCATTTATTGAAGAATTAAGGAAAGACATGGTGCTTAGATCAGGAACCTAAAAAAACTGTGTTTTACATGTTCTGGCTGAATATGGTGTTCATGTAAGCACAGGAACCAGCCAGAACCAGCCTTAACACAAGGCTTATCTGGCAACAATTCTGATCAATGCATTTCATTCATAATTTTCAACAACCTGATATTCTAAATTCAGGATCAATACACATCTCTGTTAATGCATCGCAGTTCTAAAACTTAAAAATAATAATAAAAAAATATCTGTCCCTCTATTCACAGTACCTATTACAGGTCTGCCAAAACAATTCAGTTGTCATCATGGGGAGGGACTCTTCATTAGGGACTGCAGTGACAGGACAAGGGGTAACGGGTTAAAACTTAAACAGGGGAAGTTTAGATTGGGTATAAGGAAGAAATTCTTTCCTGTTAGGGTGGTGAGGCACTGGAATGGGTTGCCCAGGGAGGTTGTGAATGCTCCATCCCTGGCAGTGTTCAAGACCAGGTTGGACGAAGCCTTGGTTGACATGGTTTAGTGTGAGGTGTCCCTGCCCATGGCAGGGGGGTTGGAACTAGATGATCTTAAGGTCCTTCCCAACCCTAACTATTCTATGATTCTATGTTTTGTCCATCTTTACAAAACACTTCAAACTGGCAGGAAAACAAACAATTTAAGTATATTGACAGCAGAGGCATAAGCAGTTGCTGAGCTATGATCAGAGAAAACTTACCAAATAGAATAGAATAATAGCTGAACAACCTTGGGCCCATTTCCGGACACAGAGCAACTCTTGTCTATCTGAATAAACTGCTATTCCCCATTTATATATTTACATAATTACAGTTTTATCACCCGTAATCTCATTCATATGCTAATTATCATTTCTCCTAGTCACATTTTGATACACTAACCATGGAAAACTGAATTTATGGGAACAGAACAAAACTGGGAATGTGGCAGTCTGTAAGAATTAGAATTTCATTTGAATACAAGAGTGAATGGGTAAATGTCTTCACCTGCCAGGCTAGAGCTCAGTTCCTTTTAATAGGAACTGTAATGATGGACTAGATCACTAGTCAAAAGTACTGCCTGGCAACAGGTAGAACCAGTTACCTTAGAAAACGGTGCAGTTGTGCTTTATGCATAACCTGTACCAAGCAAATTAAGTATAACTTCTTTAAAGAACCTCTATCACCTACAGACTGCCTGTGCCACAAAACCAGAATATTGTATATTCCTTTCACTACAAAGAGAAATCCCAGTGGCTGATACATTTTTCCCAACATGCTTCAGTGAAACCATAGATCCTGGTATTAGTCATCCTTCTATTTCAATTTAACATGCGTTTGTAATGGAGTACCTAATTCATTATTACCCACCACCCAATTTCTATTTTTCCTTACTTTTTCTCTGTCTCTTTCTCTTTCCTTTTCTCTGTCTCTTTCTCTTTCCTTTTCTCTTTCTCTTTCTTTTTCTCTTTCCTTTTCTTTTTCTCTTTCTCTTTCTTTTTCTCTTTCCTTTTCTCTTTCTCTTTCCTTTTCTCTTTCTTTTTCTCTTTCTCTTTCCTTTTCTCTTTCTTTTTCTCTTTCTCTTTCCTTTTCTCTTTCTCTTTCCTTTTCTTTTTCTCTTTCTCTTTCCTTTTCTCTCTCCTTTTCCTTTTCCCATTTCTCAGCTTTGTCTTTCTCCTTGTCTTCTTTTTTCCTTCTCTTCTCACTTTGACCATCTGAGTGGAAAACAGCAGGAGGAGGTGGAGGAAGAACATAGTGGGTACTGGGAGGAGGCGGTGGTGACACTGTTACTTCAGAACTGTGCCCAGAACTCTTTTTAGACTTAGAGTGCTTCTTCTCTCTATGTTTCTCCTTGTCTTTTTTTTTCTTACTTTTTTTTGACTTCTTCTTCTTCTTGATTTCCCGGTAGGAGTCATCTATCACGAGCTCCCCAGCCTCCAACTCCCCACCAGAAGAGGAGCCAGACTCTGGTGGAGCCTCCATACCTGAAATCTCATACTCGCTCCCATGGCCCTCTGAATAAACAGAGGTGTCAGCACCAAAACTCTCAGAAGGTGGATGGGAGTCTGGAGGTGGCTTGTGCTTCTTTCGGGATGACTTCAGAAAGCTCTGCATTTCATGACCTCGCAGGAATGAGCCTTGCTCATCTCGAGCTGATTTCTTTGAAGATTTCTTTGAAGCTGCTGGTGCTGAGGAGTAAGAAAAAGAATCGTCATCTGCTGCACTACTTTTCTCTTTTGGTGAAAGGATGAGCTTCATCTTCAAGCCATCAGGCTCACGAAGAGTAAGTGTCTCTGTGTTCACATAAAGAGGTTTCATTTTTTTAGATTTGTGGAAGCTACCATCATCCACTGAGTGCTCCCCACTGCTCCCACTCAGCTTCTTCTTGGGGTGCTCCTTTTTGCTTTCAGAATGGCCAGAGGAAGAATAAGATGATTTTTCAGAGGTCTTCTTTGAAGACTTTGAGCTTGTGGCCAAAGGTGAGGTGACAGCCTTGAGTAAATCCGTGGTTGTATCGGCTGAGGACGGGCTAGAAACTGCTTTTTTCTTCTTCTTTGATGGTAGATCCAGAGGCGTAACACCTGAAAAAGGTGAACAGAAATGTACATAAAGATGATTCCCTTAAAGACAGCATTACACTAGCGTGAAGAACTGAAGCAGGAATAAGCAAGACATAATTGTAGCTGACAGATTTACACCCTGTCTTAAAACGGAGATCTCTACAGCTTATAACTGGCTCTATTTTATATATTCAGCAAAAGTAATACTATCTGCAAGTAAAATTAAATATTGTATTGCAATAGGAAAAAAAAAAGCAAATGTCAAAAGGGAAGGAATAGGTTAGAAAACTGTAAATTTTCAATGAAACGGGGGTGGAAGATCTCTACTCCAAACAGTGGAAACATGTTAAGCTAGACTCTGAAAATATCATTGCCCAATCTTCTGCTGTCTGACACTGATCAGCATCAAGTTTCTGATTACTTCTCCTAAGACAGGTTGATGTACCCTCCCCCCATAAAGTGCTAACCACAAAGTTTGATGACATTGGTTTAACATCATCCTTTCCTCAAAGTCATGATCTGTTAGCCTGTTCTCCTGCTTGATTACTATCTCACCTCTGTAGCAGAACTCATCAGAGGAGTGCTTTTTCTTCTTTTTGTGAGGTTCTGTCCCTGGAGAACGCTCGTTGTCCTAGGATAAGAATAATAAAGTTGCTGACAAACAAGAGGGAAATAATGTAAGATTCACATGGACTACTGACACAGATAATAATTTGTAGGAGGTATCAAGAGTTATTTGTACTATGGTAACATCAAGGAACCCTAGGTATGAGCCAGGATCATTATTCTAGGTGCTAAAACAAGCACCTTCTAAGAGCCCTCAGTATAGGTTTAAGGTTAGACAAAAACCATGGTAATACAAAAAACTGTATTAGTCAGGATCCATTTCAGCACATCAGCCACCTAACCAGCACCAAGCTTTCTGTAGGCATTGCAGCACAACAGGGCTATAAGGAAACGGAAAGACAGATCTCTGTATGGAGCTCTCAGCAGGTGCAAGGAGCAATACACCAGAAAACTTGAAAAAGCACATTTGAAAGTGTTAAGAAACGAACAACAGAAGCCAGCACTTGGAGTTAAGCTGGTAAGTTGATAAAATACAGATATCGACCTCTTAATAAAGCTAATAAATAACTAAGCACACACAGGCTGTCAAACCCTAAAAACGAAGGTGAGCAGTTCATGTTTAATGTGCTGAAAAAGATAAGAGTAAGTGAAAGGAGGAAGTGAAAATTAAAATGATGGGCCAAATAACTGTCCTTAATATGCCAGGTCACCCAATTATTATTTCCCTCTTGACCAATTTATGGTCTGAAAATGAAGCCCTTCTGCAGAATTCCATCTAGAACTTCTTTTCCAGATAAAAAGAAAAATAATAAAAAAATTACCAGGTAGTCACCTTTGCATAACAGCAGAAATTTTAACTCAAAGAGGAAGGTTTTGAAGAAACTTAAGCTGTCGCTATGTGATTTCAGAGTTAAGGCCCCTATAAGGTCAATAGGGCAAGTTCATACCTCTCAAGACCTACCATTTCAGCCTGTCTGCAGAATTAGGAAGACAACAGAGCATCAATTAACATTATAATCATCCTTTGCCATTTATATAATGATGAAGTCTAAAATCATGGGTTTTTTTTTAGTGTGTAAAAACTTATTCATGCTGTCTTATGACTTGCACAGTTGTACATCAAGGCTAGGACAGCATCCTACTATCCTATTTTCTGAGGCCTGAAAAATCAGAATCAGTTGTAATTTGGCTTGACCCCCTCCTTTTCCCCAGGAAAGTTACTGAATAATACAGGACATGATTAGCTGCTCTTGCTGTCTTTGACATGCATTTCTATGTGAAAAAGAACAAGACACTCATCTGTCTCATTCCATCACTAGCTTTATATATATCCTTAGACCTTCAACCTGTTCTATGAGGGCTTCCTGACCTGAGCTGCTATCTCATCTTCCTCTTGCCGCAGATCCTTGTAAGAGCGCTTCTTCTCTCGGTGTATCCTGCCAGTTGCCAACCCATCATCAACACTTCGGTCACTCTCTAGGAACTCTGAGACTTACACGAAATGGGAAAGAACAAAAAAAAAAAGAAAGAAATTAAATACCCCATTAAGAAATGACAGACATATGGACTATGCACAAAATAGGAGAACAGTGGACATTGCACAAAACCCAATAAGCACAGAGGCCTAAAAGATTACAATCTGTACCCTCTGACCATAGGGATGGGGCTCAGTGCTTTAACACTGTAACAGCAGTCACTCTGTATTTCACTTCTAACCCTTGTATATTTCCTCCTAAAGAGAACTGGACCTAGAAATGTTATCATGACTAAACATATCGTTATCCCTGGTCTCTCATTCCATTGCCATGGCAGGGAGAAGAATGGCTGCAGTGGCAGAATTCCCTGTAAACATCAAGGTGTTTGCATCAGGAAATACCACCTATTTCTTTCAAATTCTTATGCCAGTACTTTACACTTGGAAGTCAAGGCCTTGGGATCCTCCAGCAACTTGGCCAGATTAAATTTAAGGGCTCCACAGGATACTATGTTCTTTTCCCAGTCTAACTGCATGGCCTGGCAAGGACTGCAGAAGGTACCCCCTTTTTTATCAACTCCCTCTGAGATTATAAAGCAGTCATACCTTCTTTCCTCTTGGAGTCATCATAAGCCATGGTGGTCCTGCAGGAGCCTGAGAATGTGTTGCCACGTCTGGGCTCCTTCCCCCGTTCCCATGTACAGGAAGAGGTCTGAGAAACAGAGAATGAAAATAACCCTCCCATAAAGAATCATGATGTAAAATGGGAAACTTCCTCTGAACCAAGTGAAGATTCTCCAGAAGACACTGGGAAAAGAAAGGATTCTACCTTATGGTTGGTTGATGCTCACTCTTCAGGCTTGACAGAATATTTTTCTAAAATTAAATAAGAGGTTATTCTACTATTTCAAAGATATAAAATACTACCTCTTCCTTGGAAATTCTCCAAATCACTGAAGTAGTTTATTTACAAAACCAGGAAGAGGGTAAGAAGACAGCTGAGTTTGATTTTCATGACACACAAAATTAAACCCAAACTTACCAACCGATTTTTTTGTCAGGAGCCACTGTAGCTAAGAATGGGATGTTTAAAGAGAGATTTCAAACCCCTGAATCTCAGATGAAGTGAAGGGAAAGAAGGAAACAGTTTAGAAATCATCGTACTACAAAAGAATTATTTCAAATCTAAGTGAAGAATTGCACATCCTGTAGTGAAGGTGTGCATCTTTCTGCTATGTTTCCCAACATTACCACTGCAGCCATTCTGAGTGCCAGCTTGGGAGAGGGAATAGAAGAATTCACTCCTTTCACTTAGGCCTTCCCAGCATCGCAGTCTCAGGTTTCAGGCCTGCTAGAACTATGTAATTCTGTTCCATAGTTGCTAGTATATAGCAGGACAGTGTCCTTATGGCAGAGCTGCACTCTGGCTCTCTCAGAGTAAAGTGACAGCTCTACAGCCAGTAACTAGCTTAACATGAAAAGATCAACCTGCTCAGAAGTGATTAAACTTTAATTGCACCTAAGTAATTTTGTATATTTGTGTGCATGTGCACACACAAAATCATAGAATGGTTTGGGTTGGAAGGGACATAAGGTTCATCCAGTTCCAGCCCTCTGCCATGGGCAGGGACACCTTCCACTAGATCAGGTTGCTCCAAGCCCTGTCCAACTTGGCCTTGAAAACTTCCATGTGTAAGCATTCAGCCTCAAGGACCTTGTGGCTTGTTCAGTCTTGTCAGTTACATTTGAATACCTTGATAGCAGGAAACTCTTCTACATCCCTGTGCTTATACATCCGTGTATGCATCCCAATTTTATAAATAACTGGCTGAGGCTGAGAATGTACAACATACTAATCCTATAGTGGTTACTCAAGTGAAACAACAAAGTTCCAACTAAATCAAGCTTGCAGTTACATGGGAGGTACTTCTGTTTAAATTCATAGGAATACATGTAACTTCTTCAGGTTTTGGGAAACCATCTGCCAGGAAATGTTTTAAGACAGTATTCTGACTATGTATTATTGGTAGCTAGCACAGCAATTTGTAGGCAGAATTTATGTATATACATGAGAGCACTGCAATATGTATACACAACAGAGCACTGCACTTTGGAATAAAAAAGAGCATTCTGCCGCTTGCAGGCTCACAATCTTGAACCAGATCTTGTCAACATTCTTCTTACCATGAAATATGGCTTTGTTAAACTTAGGATAAGAAATAACATCGGACACTTTGAACAGAAAAAGTACTATTTATTTCCTTTCTATTAATGAATCTGATTTGATAAACATATGGTAAGCGTTGGAATGGAAGATCCTCTGAGGGACCTGGGGGGTTTGGTCTGGAGAAGGCTCAGGGTGAACCTTACTGCTCTTTACAATTACCTTAAAAGTTGTAGTGAGGTGAGGGTGGTTACTTCTCCTAAGTAACAAGCGATACAATAAGAGGTAATGGCCTCAAGCTGCACCAGGGGAGGTTTAGACTGGATATTAGGGGCAATTTCTTCCCCAGAGGGTGCTCATGGAATGCAATAAGCTGCCCAGGGCAGTGCTTCAGTCACTGTCCCTGCAAGTGCTCACAAAGCATGTAGACGAGGCCCTCAGTGACATAGGTTAGTGGTGGTATTGGCAGTACTGGGATAAAGGTTGGACTTGATGATCTTAAAGGTCTTTTCCAACCTCGTTGATTCTATGTTGAGATGTGACTTCAGTGGGAATACACCTGATACTAAAGCATTGCGTTCAACAGGATAAGGACTTCGTCTAGACACCGCTCAGCAAAACAAAGATGAAGTCAGTCGTTCGTGAATGGATGATACGGAGAAACTAAGATCGGTTTTTAGCTACTACATTTTACTCTCTTTCTAAATCTTATCTGCTTGGTAGGTATAAAGGTTGGTAGATAACACCCAAAGGAGCTTATAACCTAAGCCTCTAACCCTGCAAAGACAAAAATTATTCTTAAGTAAGACCACCTATAAATCCTAATTAGGTTCCCCTGCTTCAAGTTCTTCGGTTTCAGCAGAAATCACACAGGTTCAGCGTAGACACTCACTCTCCACATATCCCCCTACTTAACGCTCAAGCTACCGGGATTAACGCCAAGCATTGCTATTCCTCAGCCATCCCGAAGCCACAAGGACTCGGGTCCCCGAAGGCGTCTGCACACCCCACTGGCGACCGGCAGCGGTGGGTGGGAACGGAGGGGCGGCGGTTCGAGCCGGGTACCCTTGCCCCGCTTCCCGCCAGCGCTCAGGGGACCTGGAGGAGCCGCGTGGGCAAGCAGGTCCCGCCGGGAATTCCGAGCGCAGCCAAGAGGACAAACGCTAACACCGAACCCCCGCACACCAGGGGCCTCACCTATCCCGCACCCCGAAACACCCCACAGCACAGCCCCGCGCATGCGCGTCAACACCCTCAGGGTCCGGCCCAGCCACGGCCTGCGCTCCTCCCGCCGCCTCCGTTTAAAGCTGGCTCGGCCACCCCACTACCGCTTGCCCGCACGTCGTCTCACCTGAGCCGGCTCTGGCCTCACTCCAACCTGCGGCTCCACCCCTCCAGCAGGCCCGAGCGTGTCCCTTCGGTAGGGCCGTCAGCGGCGGCAGCGCCCGCCGGTGCCGAGCCGCAGCCGCAGGGCGGGGAGGCGGCACAACCGCCTCACTTGGCACTACCGTTTCCCGCCGCGCCGCCACCACCCGCGACCGCCATGTTGGACAGGAAGACAAGGGACACCCACTCGGCGCCGCGGACAGGGGGAGGCAACCGAGCGCCGAGAGCCTTCAACGTAGCACCCGCGGGGCGGGGGAGAAGACGGGGTAAGGGATTGCCGAGCGCATCGATGGTCCATCCGGGCAGGGTGCGCCGTTCCTTGGGACGTGAGTCGGGCTAGGTGCCTTAAGATCACCCAGTTCCAACCCTCTGCCACGGGCAGGGAAGCCTCACACCAGACCAGGTTGCTCCGAGCCCCATCCAGCCTGGCCTTGAGCACTGCCAGGGATGGGGCATTTACACGTTTCTTGGGCAGCCTGTTCCAGTGCCTCACCGCATTCATAGTGGATGCAGCGCACAGTGGAGAGTCAGGATGAGCCAGGGCTGAGGTAGATAAGCAGGTCTGAACAGCACACTTGAGGCTACTGCATGTGAAGGCATCATGTCACCCTCATGCCTATTCCAATCAGCTGTTCAAAGGCAGCAGGCAAGAGAAAGGTAAAGTACCCCAAGCATCTTACGAAGTGCTCATTCATTACTGCAAATGATTCAAAAAAGGTGAAAAAGCTCAGGAAATGGCTTAGTCAGAAAAGACAAGTCTTTTTGTTCTTTTCCACCAGGCTAGTCTTTCTTAACTCTGACTGCTCAGGAAGTCACTGTTCAACAAACCTTATTTAATTCTTGCCTTAAATGCCATCGTCTCCACTGATGCAGGAGTTTTCTTTTTATTTAGATGCAGGCAGACACTCACATGACTGTCAGAGGCTGCTCACAGTCACACGAAGTCTGCGGACTACAGTTCCCAGCCATGCCTGTGCCAAACCTGGCCCATCACAGACATGCTGGTTTCCCAGCACTTACAGATTTGCCTTCTGGTCCTGATGATGCTCTTTTGTCCTAATAAGTACATAATAATGGCAATAATTATGTGCAGTACAGTAGGCCCTAGGGGAGTTAGAAGAGGATAGAAGCCTGTGCCTGTTATGCTGTAGGAAAGTATAGTTTGATCCAAAGTGAGGGGTATATCCTCTCTGTGCAGATCAATATTTGCAAGTGCAACAGCTATTAACACATCAGAGTAAAATCCCACCAGCCTTTAGGCTGAGCCATTATAATGATTAGGGGAAGCTAGGTGCACTGTGAAGGAACAGATACAAATTGCTTTGAAAATTGAAAGCCTAAATTAGCCTGGTATTTGATGATGGCAAGCACTAGATAATGATAGCTAGTAAATGTGTAGAGATGGTATGTTCAATATTCTGCACTCTGGAATAAGAAAGGATTCTAGTTGCTCTGCAGTTTGATGTTTTTAGTGCTGGATGGTTTGTAGGCATTAGACTGTGTCAGTGATTGTGTGTGGAGGAGGGTGTATTTGCAAAAATGAGCATGATACTTTTGCATAAAGCAGCAATCATTCAGACTTCCCCTGGTGGGATCTATCCGTGTTCCTTTCCTCCCTCTTATTATCATAATAATAATAATAGTAATTGTAATAGTAACAACATATAGCCTCTCCGACTGCATTTTTCATCGGTGCAGGAATGCTCAGAAAATCTAATTTCAATCATTCCTATTCTTCAGAGCTAGTAAAGGGAACCAGCCAGCACAAACCACTGGCATTTACCGGATGCTTTCAAACAGCTTAGCCTTTCCGTTTTCTAGAAAATCCAGGCACCCCTTTAATGTGTACACCTGGATTATATAGGTAAGGTGAGGAAAATGTCAGGATGCTGATAGGGAATTTAAGAGTCAGAACCCCTTCATATCCATAACACCTGACTGAATTGTTTCCCTGTAGTTTCAAAGATGAGAGGTCACAGTGAGGAAATAGGAAAATCAATAATTCTCCATAGTTTTAAGACCTGAAGTGTAGCTTCAGTCAGTTTCAGACTATTGTGAGAATATTGCATATTCCTTTTGTTAAGAGCATCTTGCATTCTTTGCCTATATGCAGGGAGAGAAACTGTGGAAGGGTACATGGTATGTTCCTCAGGTGTCTTCTTGGCAGTGAGATACCTATTGTATGAAATGCTCTTGCCAGTACAGAGCATTTTAGAATGTGTGTATACTTTCTTATGCTTAATGAAAGATTAGTTGCGTACTGAGGACATTCTCACTTTGGTATCTGGTTTCTGGGACACCTCAGAGTGCTGCTCAAAGAGGCAGTACACAGATGGAGTTTTAGGTGGCTGAGAAAAGGTGGATTAGCCTTGGTGGTGGTACCATTCCAGTGAGCAGCTTGTGTAGGTGATGCCTAGCACCAGGTTTCTGTCCTGGCACCTTAGGCTTAGGAGTAGGCTCTGGATGTTTGCACTTTGGGAGCTGGTCTGTGGGCTCTGAGAACCTGCCCTGAGCCGTGTGTCTGCCGGGGTCTGACGGTGAGCCTCCGGGAGCTGGGCTGGTGCCGGGGCTGGGGGAGCAGCCTGGGCAGAAGCGGCTTCTCGCTGCTGGGATCTGCCATGGGAAGCGTCGCTCTGTGCCCACCATCCCCAAGGAGCCGCTGTGAGCTGTGCCTGGCCCCCCAGGATGCCGGTTCGGTACACGGCGCTCCAGGAGCGTGCTGCGGCACCGCTCCGAGGGGCTGCGGGACAGGGGACACGAGGAGCTGGAGCTGCACAGCAGTTCCTGAGGTTCACTGGTGTTTATGTGACCTGTGTCTGGGGAGATGCTAGTGATGTGATGGGAGAGCGAGCCAGGGACTGCTCTGAGCCCTCCCAGGGGATGGAGCCCGCCCCGGGTACCTGCGGGCGGCTCGGGCAAGGGCGCAGTGCTCCGATCCTGCGGGCTTTATTCCCCGGGGACCCGGTTGCCTCTGCGCCGAGGTCTATGCCAGAACCGGCTGCC